ACCTTATGATCACACAGGCTGATGTGATATTTCCATATGGGTTTGTTGCTTCTCTGCTAGATGGCCACTTGTTTATCTTCAAACCTTATATGCTATATCTTTTGATAGCCAGGCACCAGCAGCTTTCTTCATTACATTTGCTTATGTACCCATTTTGTCTTCAGCAATCATGTCAGGAGGAGGAGCATTACAGAATGTCAGCTTGTTAGAACAAAGTGTTCTTGTGTTGAAGGAAGGCTTGAGCAGAGGCCCAAACTCCATCCACTTCCTCTATGTATTGTTATATAAATATATGTACATAGGCCAATACCTCTATTTTTATGAATATATTTACATGGATGCACACCTATGTTTATACCTCTATCCATAGCTTTGCTTCCTAGATCTTTCCTTTTAACTTCCTCATGCCCCACCATCACACCTGCCCTTCTTCTGCCTCTTAGTAATTCCTCTCAGCTAGATTACTGTTGCTCCACCACCACAGGGATCTCTACATCCTCCTCATTGTCTTTTTTAATTCCCCAGTTGTTTCCCTGTATATGGCATTGCTTGCTGACCACTCCTTTCCACAGCCTCCTGCACCCCCCAAAGACCCTCCGGAACCATGGGTCCCATTGCTTTCTCATCGGGCTTGCTTCCCATGCCTATCTTATGGGAGGTGAGGTAAGTGAGTTAGTTAAAAGTTTATTGTGCCAACCTGGTCGATAAACATGTGGGGTTAATTGAAGGGCAGAGGGATAAATGCTCGGTGAGCCTCACCTTTTGAGTTCTCGGGTCTCTTGCTTTGTGATGCTCTGACCAGGGTGTAGCTGCCTTAGCCAGTTCCCTGCTTCAGCTGGCAAGGCTCACTTCCTGAAAGATATCCCCGAGGAGACGCCACATGGACCTACCCCGATGCAGTCCTGGGTGCTGGAGCACCCATGTGGAGACCCCTGCCAGCGCTTAGATGGTTACACATTCACTGACTCAGCTTTCCTCCTACAGTTCATTGTGTGTGTTCTGTGAGATGGAGGAGGACTCTGTGGATTGGTGTCGGACATATGGGTTAATGTTGGACTTGTGGGCTTGGGCAGCACTGGGTTGTGATGTTTTCTTGATGTGCACTTACCCTTTATATAAAACTCTCTCTTATACATAAGAGTTTCTGTGGATTTGTTTCCCTAATGTACCCAGACTAATACAGAAAGCAAAACAATAACAGAAACCAAACAAAAAGAAATCAAAAGATTGAATAAAAGGGGCTGGGGGTGTATTAAATAGCAAAATGAAACAAAAAAGAATTCATAATTTCAGGTCTGTCTGATGACCTTTATGACTATCTCCCTACCAGTCCTGCGGGTGGGAGGGAAGGAAAAGAAAAGGGGGGAGTTTCTAGGAACTCCCTCTCCCAGCCTGAAATCAATTTGGGGGTCTTTTTGGAGCTTGGCTTTGCTCCCATTGCTGATCTGTTATGTTCCCTTCTTGATTTTTCCTACTGTGGGGGTTTTCAGATTGGATTCACTCTCTGTTGGTGTCCCCAGTATTGTCCTCTGTTGCAGTATGCTCCAGCTAGGAAACATGTCTCAAGCTATTGTCAGCCCTACAGTACTCTCTGTGCCTTAGCATCTCCGTAAATGGATGTCATCCTCAGGGCTTGGTGTACCAGTATGGGGTCTAGACCCTCGCTCTCACTTTAACTAATGCTTTCAGCGCAGCCTGAACTTCTTCTTTCAGCACTATTGGTTATTGCTCATATGCTACTCCCTGAAATGGTGGAATGTTGACTACAGTGTACCTATGATGTAGAATGGTTCCAAGCTCAAACTGTCCACTACTGGAATAGAAAAGTTCAGAAAAAATCTTGGTGTTCATAACTTTGCTAGATAGTCAAACCAAATGCGCTTTACACAATTGATGTGTGTATGGATTGGGATAACAGTTGTATGAGCCCCTAATAAAATGTTAACAACAACAACAAAAAAAGATAGTCAAACCAAAAATTCAACTTGAGAAAACCTGCTTGGGCCTACAATGAATCACAGGTTGCAGCTCGCTACAGACCCAAAGGGGTGACACGTTCGTTCGTCTAAGCACCACTCTCTCACTCAGAGAACATACAGTGTTTATGTTAGTGAGTTACAACATTCGTCATCGTGCCTTTTGCACTTTATTTGCATAAAATATCATAACCATTGCTCCAAAGAAAATTAGTGATACCAGCGGTAAAGGTAAAAAGAAAGTAATGAGAATCATGATAAGAGTTGTGAAATTTGAATCAAGTCACCTGATTTGGCAGCTGAATACAACATGGCCAAGTCAACACTGTCAACTTCTTTTTGGGGGGGTAGGGAGTGGGAAGGGTTTAAAGCAGCTAATGTAGTGAAAGGTGTGAAATAGTTAGCCACGAAACAAAGAACCCAGACCATGGAAGAGGTTGAAACGTTACTGTTAATTTGGATAAATCAGAAACAACTCTATGGCAAAAGTGTATCCAAGGCATTGATATGCGAGAATGCTAAAAGTAAATTTATAAGTGTAAATTTGGGGCCTTAGAGCCAAATATCCAATTTTCTGTTATTTCTTCTCAAACTTTTTAATTTTCAAACACGAATCTGGAATGAATTGAGTTCCACAACCAAGATATCACTTTAGTTCTTTTTGGCTTAGTGACTCTGTATTCTTTCCATCTTCTTTTGATGCAACCGGCATCATTCAATATTTTTTGCCCAGAGAATCTTTCAATATTGAAATTCAAGACTTAACTTTTTCTTGAGTGCTTCAGGTTTCAGATATGGTAAGCATTTTCTTTCCTTTTGGTTTTCTAATCCTAAGTCTTTGCATATTTCATTATAATATTTGGGTGTGTCTTCTAGAGCTGCCCTTTGAAATTTTCTAACCAGCTCTTTGACATTATCATTTCTTTCACTTGCCTTAGCTAGTCTACGATTAAGAGTAAGTTTCAGAGTCTCTTCTGACATCCACTTTGATCTTTTCTTTCTTTACTGCCTTTTTAATGACCTTTTGCTTTCTTCATGAATGATGTTCTTCATGTCCTCCCACAATTCATCAGGTCATTAGTGTTCAATGCATCAAATCTGTTCTTGAGATGTTCTCAAAATTCATGTGGGATAAGCTCTTGTGGGCTTTTCATTTTCTTCAGCTTTATCCTGAACTTACATATAAGCAACTAATGCCTCCACAGTGGCCCTTGGTCTCGTTTTAGCTGCTGATACTGAGCTTCTCCACTGTGTCTTCCCACAGATTTAATCAATTTGATTTCTGTGTATTCCATCTGGGGAAGTCCATCAATGTGCATATAGTCACTTTTTGTGTTGTCGAAAAAGGTACTTGCTACAAACAAGTTGTTGGTTTTGCAAAATTCCATCATCCAAAGATGGATTTGGTGATAGAAACAAAGCTGGAGAGTTCCAGCTTTGTTTCTATCACCAAATCCATATTTTCCAAATACTGTTCTTTCCTCTTTGTTTCTAAGTTTTGCATTCCAAGAGCCAGTAATTATCAATGCATCTTGATGCGTACTTGATCAATTTCAGACTGAAGTCATTGGTAGAATTCTTCAATTTCTTCATCCCTACCTCTTGTAGTTGGTGCATAAATTTAAATAGTTGCATTGATTGGATTTCCTTGAAAGCAGATAGATATAATCACATCACAGACAGCATTGTACTTCATGATTGATTCTTCAATGTCCTCTTTTGACAACGAATGCCATACCACTCCACTTAATTATTTCATTCCTAGCATAGTAAATTATATGATTTTCTGATTCAAAATGGCCAATACCAGTGCATTTCAGCACACTATTGCCTAGGATATCGATCTTTATGCAGTTCTTTTCATTTTTCACAACTTCCAGTTTTCCTGGAAGATTCATATTTTGCACATTCTAAGTTCCAATCGTTAGCAGATTTTTTCAGCTGTTTCTCCTTACCTGGAGTCGTGCCCCATCAGCAAATGACGATCCCGAAGGCTCCCCTCCCAGAGGACTCACCTGACTCATGTCACCATGGTCAACTCTACTTCTAGAAATCAGCTCCGCCTCAGTCACACTTGCAGGGCCCTCGGACCCCAGGGGCCCATCCTCTGACACTATCTCCGACAATGCTCTGCTTCTATCAATTAGGCTTCCAGGATCTGACAATATTTTAAAGTTATGCATACGTTTTAAGCAGCTCTTTCTTCCAAGCCAAGTCCTTCTTTGCAGCCTGGAATTTCCACTGTAACCTGCTACTTTGAGTGACCCCACTGGCATTTGAAATACCAGTGACATAGCTTCCAGCGTCACAGCAGCACATAAGTCACCGCAGTATGACAAGCTGACAGACAATGCATTATACAGTATGTGCATTATTTGTTAATTAAAATGTTAAATGTGCATTAAAATGTTCATTGTAAACTTGTGTTAATTTCTAATCAATAAGGTGTTTATCTCCCACTTGAGACCTTCATGAATGCCTAAGTTTTTCCCATTTTTGATTGAGATAGAAAAGAATGTCCAAGTATAAAAGTGAACCTCCATTATTTTATGACTATTCTCCAAATGCACTCTGACCAGAGAATTATACAAACAGGCAAAACTAGCATTAACAACCTACCTTAAGGATTAAAAAACTCACTGCCATTGCATCAATGTCAACTCATAGTGACCCTACAGGACAGGGTAGAACTGCCCCTGTGAATTCTGAGACTATAACTCTTCATAGGAGTAGAAAGTCCTTCTTTCTACTACAGAGCGAATGGTTTAAACTGCTGACTTTGGGATATCAATCAAAGGCATAACCCCTATGCCACTAAGGCTCTTACCTTAAGGATCCACATCCCTAAAATAGCACAGCCTACCACTAATGCAAAGTTGTTTTTGCCACAGTAGCATAAACCTATTTATATGCTTGTATACACATAGCAGTGTTTCTGATTGAAATGTTAACTAAACTCTTTGGAAATGTTACTGGTTTTTAAAGAACATGGCATTTTAAAGAATTTAAATATTTAGCACCAACCAGCTTCAGCTTATTTTTCTGAATCACATCTTTGTTTTCCTTTTGGTATTGCTCCATTTTCTTTTTGGTGTTGTCCAAATCCACATTGTTGGTCAAGTTGAAAACTGTATCAGAAAGAAAACAATAACATAAAATGCAATTTAAATATAAATCTTAAGTAAAAATAATTAAATATTCACCACAGCAATTTCTTATTCATTGAACGTGATTCCTTATAGTTATTTGTGTTCTTTAACTTACTTCCTATTTTAGAAACTATTTCCAGGCACAGCAACTATATTTTCTGAGTCAAATACAAAAACTACCTCCTGAATATCAAGAGAAAAAACAATATCCACTGTTAAAGTCAATTATGATTCACAGTGACCCTATACAGGGTTCCGAAGCTTTAAATCATTTGGGGATGGTGCATATGTTTAACCCGTATACACCCTGAATGGGTAAATGTTTAACACATACATACAGTTAATCAAAAGATTGAAGGTCATATTGATCCAGAGGTACCCTGAAAGAAAGACCAGGCAATCTACTTCCCAAAATAATCTGCCATTAAAAAGCCTATCAAGCAGAGTTCAACTGGAACACAAATGGGGTCACTATATGTCATATTTATTCAAAGGAAAGTGGTTTATCCCCACTGTTCCCCAGATTCCTCTCAAGCTCACTCTTTGCTTAAACTAACACCCTTTCAAATAGTTTCTACACAATTTTATCATAAAGGCAATCATAGATAAGTCAATGCTAATCTTTACAACTCAATCATATTATAAAGTGCCAATTAAATCACTGACAAGAATGGGAATTCTAGAACACTTAATTGTACTTTTGTGGAACCTGTACATTACTTATTTCCTTAGATTATTAAAAGGGACTGTTCTATGGTTTCAAATCAGGAAAGGGTTGTATCCTTTTATCATATCTAATCAATCTATATGCTGAGCAATTAATCAGAGACACTGGACTATATGAAGAAGAAGCAGGATTGCAGGAAGGCTCATTAATAACCTGATATATGCAGATGGAAAAACCTTGCTTGCTAAAAGTAAGCAGGACAATGAGCACTTACTGATGAAAATCAAAGAGTACAGCTTTCTGTATGGACTGCAGCTCGATGTAAAGAAAACCAAAGTCCTCACAACTGGACCAAGAGACAACATTATGACAAACAGAGAAAAGATTGAGTTTATCAGGAATTTCATTTTACTTGGATCCACAATCACAAACAATGTTCATGAAAGAGGTAGTTAAGAAGTCAAATGCCATATTGCAGCACAAGACCTATTTAAAGTGTTAAAGAGCAGAGATGTCACTTAAAGTGTGCCTGACCCAAGCCAGAGTATCTTCAATTACCACACATGCATGTAAAAGCTAGACTATGAAAAAGAAGACTGCCGAAGAATTGATGCCTTTAAATTTGGTACTGACAAAGAATGTACCACAGACTGCCAGAAGGACAAACAAACTTTTCTTGGAAGAAAAATAACCAGAATGTCCCTTAGAAGAGAGAAGACTTTACCTCATATAATTTGGACTTGTTATCAGAAGAGACTGGTTCTTGAAAAAATGCATCAGACTTAGTAAAGGGTGACTGAAAAAGAAGAAGACCCTCGACAAGATGGATTTAACACACTGGCTGCCACATGGGCTCAACCATAGCAATTAATGAGATTGTTCTATTATAAAATGGCTCATGATGAGGTGGAACTGACCGAGTGGCAACTTATAACAACATTTACAGTTATTGATGAATTACAAAAATCTTATAATTTCAGATCTGAACAAAGCAAACTAAATTTCAAAGTACAAGAACAAATCATCGTGGGCTCTTGTGGTATGAATCTATTGAAAAGATAATCAAATTGGAATCCTATGTAGACCTCTACTAGAATGCATATAACAGTTAAAGATACACAGCTTAATAGTAAGCTAGACATCTTACTATTGATTTAAATTTTTAATTAAATAGAACCCAGAAATAGGTAACTCCAAATTTGAAGTGAATTTAATGTTTCTTTCTCATTAAAAAATGCAGTAAGTTTCAAATAAACAATTTACTTATTTCATTTTTTAATTTCAAAAGCAACTAAAATCAAAGCCAAACTTACTACCACTCAGTTAGTCCTGACTCTTAAGGCAGATGCAAATCCTCATGGTAGAAACAAACCTCTCTTTAAAAACACAACCATAAAAATGCATTCATGTCATTGAAATCTTCCAAATGAACCAAGCTTCTTACATGTCACAATCAACCCATTTGATATAATAGCCTTAAAGAAAAGGGAATAGAAGCTACTTTTTCTATAATAATTCTGTGGCCCTTTATCTGGCCCCTGGTTTAGCTCAGCTATTGACCTGTCTCTAGTCAAGTATTAAAAGCCAACAAAAAACCTATTGTATTCCCTGAAAGATTTAATGTTAAGCATAATTTTGAAGTCTTTCTGGCATCCAGATTTATAATTAAAGCCCTTGGGACTTTCTCACCCTTTTAAAGTAAGTATTCTCTGAAGTAAAAGCGTAATCTGTTGATTGTGAAAAGAAGAGCAAACTTTGAAATAACCCTGGGGGCCAAAAGGACCAAGAAACATATGTCTAGATTGTCATAATGACAGAAAGGAACATATTGTTAATGTTAGGGAAAAAGTTCATCTCCATGTGTAAACTGTTGATGCTGTTATTCATAGTTACATTTTTAAAATTTTGTATTCATGATGCTCAAAGGATTTATGATTAAATTTTTATAATGAAATGACTCCAATCCTCAGTTTATAAATCCTCAAACATTGAACCCACAGCATAAAACTACTAACTAAATTTTTCTTACTCTAGACTTTAATATCTGCAATCGCACTCCTCTCTATTAACTGCACTCTGAACCACCCAAGTATGTTCATGGACCTGGTGGGTTAGAAACATAGATATTCAACATTTGGCTCCATTATTTACTAGCAATACAATCTTCAACACAGTTCTGAACCTCTCTGAGCCTCTTCTCTGTATAGAAAATGGAGATAAAAATGCCTGTGGAAATTACATGAGATACCGTGGCTACAGTGCAGTCCAGCATTTAGTAGACTCTTGGTACTGTAAACTAACATTTTATATTATCAGTAAGCACAAATGAAAAATAGTCACACAGATAGCACACACATCTACTAATCACCTTGATTTTTCACTAATCAAGCCAATATAGGTATCACAGACATCTACTAATCATCTTTATTTTTATTATCAGCTTTAAAAATATGAATAAAACACAAAGAAGATACCTGCATAGAGAAAAATTTTGTATTATTGTATATTTGTAATACAGAAAAAGGTGTCTTTACACCGTAACAATGTCATACTACTAATTGGTGGAGCCACAGGCTAAAACAACTTGAAAGGTCTAAAACTAAAAAAAAAGAAAGGTCTAAAACTAAGTTCTTTACTTCATCCTTCATTTATACACACTTCCAGTTTCTAAAATAAACTAACAAAAAACCATACTGCCTATTTTATTATATTAATTAACATCATACAGCTATTGAAGTGTTAATTTATCCATGCTGGTTCTTCTAACTCCCTATATCAAATCAGTCATTTTATCTCTAAACATCCCCTTTGCTTATGCCTACAGTCACCAACCAATACTCCCAGCCTTCACATTCTCTCACTACATTAGTGTAATGGCCCCTTGGGAAGACTGTCCCTACTTAAGTGTCTCCTCGCACTGCTTCACTTCACCACCTCACTCCTCCTGCTGGCACTTTCAGCCTTGAAAAAAACCTTAAACCCCCACAAGTCAGCTTACAAAGCCCTCCATAACACAGATCTAGCCTGGGTTATTTTGTTTGTTGGTTTGGTTTTTGTTTCCAACTCATTCTAGTCAGTCCCATGTTCTATTTAACTGCGTGAAGGCTACTTTCTTCGTCTCCACGATGTTCAACATCTCATTTCTGGGCCTTCTTCGGTGCTTTCTTTTGGTCCCAAATTATCTTTCTTCCCCTTTAAAGTCAAACTCAAATATAACAGTTTCTCTGGAAAAATGAGGGCAACAAATGTATAGATGTGCTTTACACAATTGATCTATATATTGTGATGAATTGTATGAGCCCCAATAAATTGATTTTTAAAAAAAACACAATGTTTCTCTGAGCTTTCCCAAACTCACCTCTATCTCCCAATATTAAATGAACTGCTTCCTGAAGTGTACTTCCATAGCACCTTGTAAATGCCTATAAGACTTATTACATCAAACTATCCTTGTTTAAAAAAATGAAATTTCAAATTATTCATTTATAGAATCATCTCTCCACTCAGTCTGAGCTTATTTAGGGCAAAAATTACATATCCCCCGCAAATAAAGCTGTTCACATAGAACAATTAATATTTGCTGAACTGAGCCAAGGTTCAGAAAATAAGCAATAAATGCATGAAGCTACATCTCAAATGTCATCTGTTTCTTCAGATATAAAGAAGCCCACTCCATTCAAGGAGAAAAACACACATAATCAAATATCTTATTTTAAAACATATACGCTAAGTATACTGTCAATCTCTGACTTCGTAGCAGACCACTCCTAGCTAGTCTTCAGGTGGTTTTGCTTCTGTCTTGGATAAACCACACCCATCATCTGTACTGTCCAGTTTCTATTTTTAAGTGGGGTAAATACTTGAGGAGCAAAATCCTTATGAAGGTTTACAAATTTCCCCACCTTTATATACTATTTAAGTAAATAATACAATTACAATACCAAGTTCAGCTGGCGTGAAAAGATTTATTTACCAATGCAACTAACTTTTAGTATATAACTGCTGAAGACAAAAGTGCACATGAGAGCAGCTTCTAATGGAGAGTATTCATTATACTTTGGGCATCAGCCAGTACATTTTATGGATGGGCCGGGGGATGTCAGCTACTCCAGTAAAATTAAATGGGGCTAGTTAAAAGAGCATCAATATACTGCAAACAGAGACAAGTCCTCCATGAACATACAAGTACGAATATATCATAGCAAAGTCATCTTCAAAGTACATGTTCTAGGCTGTGTTTTCCTTAGCTAGTCAAGAAACGATATCACACTATATATTCCTAATATACAGATTTGTTCTTACCTGCCAATCCTAACTCTGACTCCCCAGACATAAACCTGGTTTTACCTATAAGCCTTGGATTATCCACACCTTCAACTGATTCACATCTCATAGGAGACATTATATTTTTAAGATTACATATTGTAAAAGACTTATCTAAAACTATGTCCCAGAATCAAGATGGCATTGGACTGCCAACTGCAAGGTCAGCAGTTTGAAACCACCAGCCACTCTGAGAAAATAAAAGATGAGGCTTTCTACTTCCATAAAGAGTTACCGTCTTAGAAACTCACAGGGGCAGTTCTATACTGTCCTAAAGGGTCTCTAAGAGTCAGTATCGACTAAATGGAAGTGAGTTTGTGATAGTCACACTACCTAAAAAATAAGTGTAAGCTGGGTTTCTTCCTCTTTTCTTTTCCTTTTTTTGTTTTTTCTTCCTCTTTTCTATACAATTGCTTGCCCTATGCTTAACATCTACCTAGCATCAAATGTCTACATGCTTGCTTACTTGCCCAGTTCTTGCAAATATTTTATCCTCATAGTCTATATTGTAACATTCCCATTTTGCAAAGGCACTCTTAATTTTACTATTTTTTACATAAAATTTATAGCCACTCACTCGTGGTTGCTAGGATTATACAGAAAGTACAATTAGAAGGGGCGGGGAAGAGACAGTAACTCTTAAGAAATAAAAAATCCCAAAGTCTGAATTATGCATTGAACATGCTATGTGCTATGGCATAAGAAAAAAATTTAGGTATTTTAGAAGAGGTTCAGAAACAGCTGGGGGGGGATACTAACTTTTTCTTTTTCTTTCTAACTTTTTCTTAGTACAGAAATTAAACATATTAGAATAGTCCATTCCTCAAGAATTTGAATTTTTGCAGTTTAGCATATATGCATAAACCTTCCCAGGCAATGGTTCTCAGCTTCCTCATGCCGTGACCCTTGAATACAGTTCCTCATGTTGTGGTGACCTCTCAACCATAAAATTATTTTCATTGCTACTTCATAACTGTAATTTTGCTACTGTTATAAAACAACCCCTGTGAAAGGGTTGTTTGACCCCCAAAGGGGTTACAGCCCACAGGTTGAGAACCGCTGTTCTAAGGAATGACCAATAAGCATAGTGTAAATGACTACTTTTTAGAATTCCAAATTTACAGAGAAATTGTGTGGAAAATACCCAGTTCCCAGAGAGATCCCACCCTCCTGCACACTGTTCCCCTTTTTTAAAAAATCATATTATTAGGGACTCATACATCTCTTTTCACAATCCATACATACATCAATTGTGTCCAGCACATTCGTACATATGTTGCCATCATCATTCTGAAATCACCTGCTTTCTACTTGAGCCCTTGGTATCAGCTCCTCATTTCCCCCTCCCTCCCCGCTCCCCGCTGTTCCCCTTATTATTAACAACTCGCATCCTTCTGGCACATTCCTAAGAACCACTAAAATAATATTGATATACTATTATTTTTTAAAGTGCATGATCTACAATGGGTTCATTCTTTCTCCTGTATAGTGTAGTGCAGTCAGTTACTTAATATGCCCTTGTAGCCACAGTCTTTGAGACTCCTACACAACACCTCGGTGGACCCATGCAAATAAAGTGTATGGAACCTGCAACAGTTAAGAGTATGTGTCAACTCAGCTCAGTTGTGATTTTCAGTCATTGACAGTTAAGTTATAATATGATTTGGCAATTATATAACAATGCAATCATCCTCCATTTAGAAGTCTGGTATAAGTGTCCTCCATATTGTGATGTGTATTATAAACCTAACCTCTATACCTGTGGTTATGGTCCCATTTGGTAGTGAGTTATCTATTGTGTTCATGATACAGGATGAGGATGGGAAGTATCTCGCGTTTCCACCTTACTGGAAGGTATGACTCAAGTTTCCATCTGTAACCCAGCCATCACCTTTGTCACGTGTATTCAACTTACTCACTAGCATTTTCTTGCTCAAGTAAGGGAAGTTTCCTTGAGGGTATGGTCCAGTTTATATCTATAGTTATATATACAGTTATATTTACATGTAGTATCCGATCTTAAGCCCTCATCACCCTGGTTGGCAAAAGGCTATACAAGGCAGTGACAGCCTAAAATCCAATGGCAGTGTGCCCACATAGATTAAGCCTCCATTGAAAGCCTTCTGATCATTAACCAAGGATAATCTTGCCCTCAGGCAGAATGCCTCGGAGAGTGGATTGCCCCCACCCCTCTCTGGCCAGCCCTGGAAGAGGCAGTCTCTCCCTTAGGAGTTGCCTAGGTGTATCCTTGATGGAGACCACTGTACTGACAGTATAGAGGATTGCAGTCATGAGTTTGGCCTCTCAGTTTAGCCTTGACTGCGTTGGTCAAAAGGCTCTGGACCAATCTTATAAACCCTTCTATCTAACAATGTACATGTCCCAATCATGGTCCTGTCCCTTCTTCGGTAGTCTTACCTATAACCGTGATGTGCTGATCTGCCACCAATCATGCATTTGTGATCGCTTCATTTGTCCCCCCATTCCCCTTTGAAAGCTTGGTATCATAATCAACTGCTGGATGCCATTTCAACCTCACGTTGATGATATCCCTTATCTGGATGATGTGTCTGTCTCTGTGTTGTCTTTGTCTCTTTTAAGACTTAGCAAATGTTTTCTGTAAATTATATTTGAGATAGGGGTCTCTTTTGTACCCTGAGACTACATAAATGCTCTGGCAAAGTTCCCTCTCTTGCTTTTGATCCAACATCCAGTTTGTTGCTCTCTGACCTCAAGTTCTTGAGCTAGCGACCTATCATCTGACCTGGCTCACCAGTTTCTGAAGCCTGTCATCTGACCTGCCACTGTGTCTTCATCAGACTCTGCAACCAAGTTACTCACAAGGGTTCTCTAGCCTGATGGCTGCCTGACCCACAGTTTTGAGACTTGTTAGCCTCCACAAGCACATGAGCTGTTTTCTAGATGATTCTTGAGTTCTGTGAAATACTGCAACAAATTACAGAACCCAAAGATGGGAAGGGGAATCTGGAAGGAGGAGGAGGTGATGTTAGACATGATTGAGCGGTACAGCAGTTTGGAAAAGTTGGACATTTGGGACATCTTTAACCTCTGATTCATTTTGTGCTGATCCTCATAAAATAAATTATTCACAGTCCCATGCATTTTTGATAAATGCATGCCAATTGTATCTAATACTCAAGTACCGTAAAGAATAATTTAATGTCATCAATTTAAATATGAAAAATGTGGATATAATTTAGCTTCCAAGTTTCAGAAAAAAATAAAAAAGATTACTGTTTGATCCCCATAGCTTCATTCTATTGTCATAGGCTGTAAACTCTGTGTAGTCTCCCAACCTGTACTTTGCAATAATGGCACCTTTAGAAAATGCCATTAATTTTGGAACCAACATATAATCACTGCCAAGCTTTTAATGTCTTTCAAATCTTAGGAAAACAGAAACAATACTCTTTCTTATAAAAGCATCCTTTTGACTAATCTCATTAGAAAGAAAAGATTACACTAATCTCTGGTTCCTAAATAACAAAGAACACCACTTCAACAGTCAACGGCTTCAAAGTATTTAAGACTACTGTATTCTCATAAGCACAAATGATGATAAACAAAATATGCTTTAATCAGAGTGCATAAAACTAATGAAAATAATACAGAACAATGCCTGAATAGCCTTCCTTTTTGTTTAAAGTACTCGAGTAATATCACCAACTTATAAGACTGGTCTTCCTTTCTAGCTATTAGGTAGTACCACAGTTTTTCATCATGTCTTTCCTAAAACAAAATGTTTATTACTTAAGTATATACTTTAACTTAAGTATGTCTTCAATCTGACCATTATGATTCAAGTGTAAAAGGAAGTAATTAAATAAACCATCAGCTATCACAATGATACTGGTTAGAAATTTTTATAAGGGGGCTTAAAAGAGTTTGCAGAAAAATGGAATTGAAAGAGAGTGAATTTTTCTTCCATGAACTTTTTGAGATGGTCTCCCAGCCATTTAAAAAGATAAAAGGGCAAGTTCCGATACATTAGCATACCAAAAGTGCAAGTATTGCAAACATACCAATTTCTTCCACTTCTTCCAGGAAGTCATTATATTCTCTTAGACTAGAAAAGTCTTCTTCTCTTTTATTGTATCTTTAAGACATGGGGGGAAATATCAACATATTACACATCACTTGCTTTCAATCTTAGCTGACAGATATATTTGTTCTTAATTCATCAGAACAAAAAAGAATTGCTTACTGTTTTCTTGACACCAAGGTTTTAACTAAACCAAGAATGCAGGAGAATTAGGAGAAAATGGTTCAACATATAAAATCCTTCTAAGACTTAAGAGAAAGGAAAATTAGGAGCTTGAAGTAATTGAAAATAAGCTTAATCGGGTTTATAACCAGAAATTAGAATGCTGTTTAGTTCTCATAAAAGGATTCACTACTTTCCATAAAATTAAAATTTTTAAAAGACCCTCCTGACCCTCCTTGTCATGACATCTAAAGCAACCTGTATTAGGAAAACCTTATTGTAATATACCTATGAATAATTAGAAAATTAATTACAAGAGTTTAATAATAAAAATATCAGGATCTAAGCAAAACTCTCTCTCAGAATTAATCCAAATAATGAAAGAGCAGCTTGGGGCACTAATAAAGGAGGGTTGGTTAAGTATCTAAAAAGATGCTATTAGAACACTAGGTTGAAATGGATATATTCTCCCAAGAAAATTTTTTTAACCATAATTTTCTAAAATGTTTTGATTGTTAATGTCAAAAAGAAGGATAAAGTAGCTTAAGGTAAAAGGGCAGAAAATAAAACACAAATGTATTAGCAAAGAAGAAGTAAAAACAAAAATGGTAAGAGATAAAATATATATACCAATACATGATTTTTGGAAACATCTTTCAATATCGACTTAAGTGCCACCAATATTCAACCACTAGCTTTATAGCATTTTTTTCTCTACCTATAGTTGAATTGTTTTATTGCCAGTCTCTAGACCAAAGTTTCTTAAAACATTGTGGGTCACAACCCCATATGAGGTCATGGATCTGAAGGGTGTCACAAAAAAGTTTGGCAACATTTAAAGGTTTCTGAACTTGGTTTCTGAACCAAAAATTAATTCAAAATCCAATACATAAAGAATCCGAGGTGTTTCTGGCAGCACTTTGCACAGCATTTGGCTGTGTGGCAAATTTCTCAGGTGAAAGGGGGCCGGGGTCCTTGAATAGGGAAAGTTTAAGAAGTCCTGCCCAGACCACCCGTTGCTACTATACTATAAGCCTCATAAGGGCAGGACCTAGAGCTATTTCCACTCATAGTTTCACTTCCATTGCCTAACGTGCCTGAAACTGTTTGAGCACAGTAGGTACACAATACATGTCAGTTAAAGTAAATGTAGCAAGTAAACAAGCGTATTGGGAAACCATCAATCAAGATTTACTCTTCTCTGACAATATTACTGCTAGTGATGTTACTAGAAGTTGAGTTCTCTAAAGGATTATTCATCTATACACAATACAAAATGATACTCTAAAAGGGGGTGGACTATCTGTTTTGATAGTCAAAACAGAAATATACATGATGCTTCATTTGCTTTCAATTTGTTCATTGCTAAGATCAACTAAATGCCTCCCACAGAACACACTTGCTTAATAAACTGTTGAAAAAATTTAGAGATGAATTTAATTATTCAACTGACAATTTGTCCACATTTATAGAAGAGAAAGTCAAATAATAGTGCTACTAGGATTTCAACTTATGTGATTGAGTTTATTCCAAATAAACATGTTTAAGCATGTCTCTAAGTTAAAGTGATGGCTGCAGGCAAGTTTCTCACAGTAAAATAAGGTGCTTTCAAACAATCTTTAATCAAAATAATGCCTTCTGAGGGGATCTGCTGAGCCAGCTAGATTTAAAGTGGATAGGTCGGCTTGGAAGCTTATGGCAACTAGATTTTTGGTGGGGACTCCAATGGGGTTACCTTTATAGATTGCCTCAAAAGACAAAAGGACAGTCATACAGGCTTATTGTGAAGAAGTTTTCTGAAAACTGAACTGGTAAGAAATAGGACAAGAAAGTTACACCAAGTGATTTTTTGCTTTATAACAAAAAATCATAACAACGTACCTCCTCATTCTTCATGGATTACAAAGTCTAGTCTAGAAGAATTTTACTGGGAAACCTCACCCCATCCATCCTACAGTCCCAATCCTGTCATTTCTGAGTTTTTTGTTTCCAAAACTCAAAGAAATTGATGGAAAAGAAGCATGATATGAGTTCTGGAGGATGTCAAAATGGCCCTTTTGATGCAGCATAGATCACAGGGCATAAAATTCTTCAGGAAAGGGTTACAGAGATAAAAACACCACTTTCAGACATGAATGGAGAATATCAAGAAACAAAATGTTTTACGTTGTGACACTTTTACTTAATAAAAGTTTCTAAGATTTTTGTAGCAATACTTTTTTACTTACCTTGGTATGATTTGCTAATGATATCAAAAATTAAAATAATTTTAAGTCCTCTATGTTGACTTAACCATTCAGGCAATAATACTTACATCTTTAACACTTTTTTCCTAATCTCAACCTCTTTGTCAACAGTAGGGTCTTCAAAGAGTTGTACCCTGAAGTTGCTCTTTCTCAGTGGAGTGCCACACTCAGGACAATTTCCAGCTCCTCTCACAAAAAGCAAATCCACACAACTTTCACATCTGTAAGGATAAAAATACAAGGTAGTTTAAACTAGTATTCAAATTTGTAGCAAATGCATGGTTTGTCGATTTTTCTTTTAACATGAAAATCAATCACTGTTACTTGAAATCTTACCAAAAGCCTTTTGGCAAGTTTTCATTTTTATCTGAAGCTTACTTTTCAGACACAAATATACCAAAGAATATCAGTTATGTTTTATAAATTAAGCCAACTGAGTGGGGTTCCGATAGAAAAGCTAGGTGAGTGGAAACAGCAAGCCAGGGAAGACGTGGGAAGTGATGGCACTGAGTAGATTGCAACTAATGCTGCAAAATGAAATGTTTGTATGTTGTTAGGTGGGAAACTGATTTACTCTGTAGACTTTCCAACCCAAAAAATAAAATGGTTGTTTTCTGACTGTGGATTCAGAAGACAGGAAGACTGAGAGGCCTGTAAAAAGTGGTCACCTCCGTCCTCAGTCCAGCGTCCTGGTTACACCAAGGCAAGAGAAGCCACAGTGTACTGTAAATAAACTCCCCCAAGAAAAGTGTTTAACCTTAATTTTCTTAAGTGTTGTAATTATTAATGTCAAAAACAAGGATAAAGTAGCTTAAAGTAAAAGGACAGAAAATAAAACACAAATGTATCAGCCAGGAGCTCCAGCCTCTGGAGAAGCCTGTAGATTACAAGAATTTAAACAACGCTTCATTTTCTTTCAACTTGTAAGAAAGTTTCTGCAAGTTCCCAGCCAACAAGACTTAGAAGGAACAGGTGCTAGCTAAAGAAGATGCTCTAAGCCTGAGAATGCAGAGAACTGGAAGTGGCCCAAGGTGTATAGAAAAAGGAAAACATCACCCCGCTCCTGCACGCAGAAACCCAAGAAAGAATGGTGCCTTGTGAAAATTTTAATCACGTGCCACTGGCTGCCTCAAATCAACTAGTGATTGCCTAGGTAAGCAAGGTTTCCCAGATCACTCATCCCCTCTCCTCTCAGATGGTGCTGTTTGGGGAAAGATGTATTATTTCTTGGAAGGTTTCAGGTGGAAAAGTATTAGGTGAACCTCTCTGTATCAGATTCTCACGGGCTTATTTTCTAAGGCTTAATGGAAACTGTTGCTATGTTGTTTTAGATAGGTTCAGGCACCTCCTAGTCATCCTTGCTCTGCCCAATAGACTAACAGGTTTTGGAAAGGCTGGCTTTTGTAGCCTCTGCATCTTGAGGGGGCAGATGGGCAACTAGAAACTCAGGCTACATGAGAAAACTCAGGTTACTTCAAGGACAAAGCTTGAGTTAGAGCTCTTACATAGTAAGCATTTGGTACATAGTTGTATTCTTGTGAAAGTGTATTAGAAGTATTTGAAAATGCTTTGAAGCTATGCATAAAGTTTTCGGTGGTGAAAACTTCTTCCGAAGTGGGGAGCCAAGTCCTTCTTCATTGTCCTTAGTGGGGAAGCTCCTCGGAAACCTGTTCACTGTGGGTGATACCGCTGGCATTTGAAACACCAGTGACAGAGCTTCCAGCATCACAGCAACACACAAGCCACCACAGTATGACAAACTAACGCACAAGTGATGGTGAAGATGAATGTTTAAAGTAAGTGGACTAAAAATAAATAAATTAATTAAATAAAGTAAGTGAACTACGAAAAGGACCGATCTGTATTGGATAAGGTTTGAATGTTCCTTAGAGGCAAGGATGGCAAGACATCATCTTACAAACTTTGGACTCATTGTCAGGAGAGACCAGTCCCCGGAAAAAGACATCAGGCGTGGTCGAGTGGAGGGGCAGCAAAAAGAGGAAGGCTCTCCAGGAGATGGACGGACACAGTGGCTGGAACAATGGGCTCAGACATGGGAACAATCATGAGGGTGGCACAGGGCTGTCGTTTTCTAGTGTTGTACACAGGGTCGCTATGGTCAGAGTCGACTTCACGTCACCTAACAACCACGTGTGTACGTGTCCAGTCGATCCGAATCACCTATAACGCTATTTTATTTTCTTCACAGCACTCTTTAAAAACCTCAACCTCTTAGTGACCCCACAGGACAGAGCAGAACTGACCTTCTGATGCTATGTAAGTCTTCATGCAGTAGAAAGTCTTGCAGTTCTCCCAAGGTGCAGCTGGTGGTTTCAAACTGCTGGCTTTGCATTAGCAGCCCAATGCAGAACCTTTGACACCACAAGGGCTCCTTCAAACCCTTAGCAATTAATATAAATGTGGTATAATCACTGCTGTCACGCTCATTCCAGTAATCTTACTTCATTTTCTGTATAGCACTTAGCACTGAAGATATATACTGTGATCCCTCCTGTTACTTAATCACTCATCGTCTCCATAGAATTTAGCAATGGAGATAAATATTACAGGAAAGATGTGTGTGGTACAGATAGGAACTGAAAATACAGGGAATCCAGGACGGATGAGCCCTACAGGACCAGTGGTGTGAGTGGCAAAACAGGGAGGGGAGAGGGAGAGTGGGTAGGAAAGAGGGAACCGGTTACAAGGAACTATATGTGACCTCCTCCCTGGGGGACGGACAACAGAAAAGTGGGTGAAGGGAGACGTTGGACAGGGCAAGATATGACAAAATAACAATTTATAAACTATCAAGGGCTCATGAGGGAGGGGGAGCGGGGAGGGAGGGGAAAAATGAGGACCTAATGCCGGGGATTTAAGTGGAGAGAAAATGTTTTGAGGATGAGGGCAATGAATGTACAAATACGCTTTACACAATTGATGTGTGTATGGATTGTGATGAGTTGTATGAGCCCCAATAAAATGATTTTTAAAAAAAAGATGTGTGAAAAACGGTCAAAATAAAAAAGAACAGAAGAAAAAGTTAGCAATACATGAAACTGTCTTATGTGTGTGATGACTTTTCTCTCTCTCTAGCTAGGATGTCTATTTCATGCGGGCAAGGACATGACCAACCTTGTTTTCTGTCCCCAGTCCCTGACACTTATGATGTACTCAAATAAGCTTCACTAAACAAGGGTAGATATAAACACAAATAAAAAGAGAAATCCTGAAGAATAAGATAGGCACTGGACATATAAAGCAAGCTAAATGAGAAGAATAATGCTAGGAAATTAGAATTTTTAAGGGTTTTAGTAAAATTTTGATATTGATCTTACCATATTTCTATCTTTACAGTATTTTTTTAATAGCAGGAAAAATAATCCCAAAGAGGGAGAATACAGACATTTGTCGTTACCAAGATCAACAAAGCCCCAGAAAAAAACATTTCAGGTCGAGGAAGATTGGGAGTGGTGCACGTTCCCTATTCTTTGTGGTTAGAAAAAATTAAGCCCAACTAGAGAAGTTGAAAACGGACACACTTTATAACTACACTGAGTTAAGATACTCATAAGCAAGAAACCATTCAAACGATTCAAATCTACAGAGTTGCAAATAATAGTCTTTATTTCAAAGTCTTGAAGACTAGACTAAGTCCAGAGATCAGTTAATGTAATCTATAACATGCTAATAATTCTTAAATTCATATTATATATTAGACATTAAATTATTTGTTTAAATTTTACTAAGGAACTTTAAAAGTAGCTTATTTTTCATGCAATTTTTTTCCTTCCTGATTTTAAATGCTAACAAAACATACCACTAAAAATAAGAGTTGCATTCCTAAATGTTTCCTCCCCACTCCCACTACCATGATTCGAATTCGATCTTGCAAGTCTGGCTAGACACGAGGAGGTACACTGGTACATATAGGAACTGAAAATACAGGGAATCCAGGACGGAGGAGCCCTATAATAGGACCAGTGGTGTGAGTGGCAAAACAGGGAGGGTAAAGGGAGAATGGGTAGGAAAGAGGGAACCGATTACATGGAACTGTGTGTGACCTCCTCCCTGGGGGAGAGACAACCGAAAAGTGGGTGAAGGGAGACGTTGGACAGGGCAAGATATGACAAAATACCCATTTATAAACTATCAAGGGCTCATGCGGGAGGGGGGAGCGGGGAGGGAGGGGAAAAATGAGGACCTAATGTCGGGGGTTTAAGTGGAGAGAAAATGTTTTGAGAAACGATGTACAAATGTGCTTTACACAATTGATGTGTGTATGGATTGGGATAACAGTTGTATGAGCCCCTAATAAAATGTTAAATAAAAAATAAGAGTTGCAATAATATAGAAGTATATAAAGAGGAAAACTGGGAGTTCTATTTCTTTCTGCTGCATATCTCACTTCCCCGAGGTACCCTACTACTGTTGAGTGCAGTGTTTATGCGGTCAGCTCTATTTCCACATGTTTGTAAAAGCTATGTGGAAACCAGCCATAGACAAAAAGAACAGGAGAACAAGTTGGTATTTGTTCATTCAGTTCATCTGGCAAAAGAGCAACCAAAACAAGTATGTGGGCAATCTTTTACCTCCAAGAGAATAAGGAATTTTCCCCCCAAAAAATCTTATAATCTCCAGAACACAGGGAAAAAATGCTAAAAAAGCCAAATCATCATTCCTTAGTTCCCAAAATATTTTATGGGTTTTTTTTTCTGGGAGTGAGGGGGTTGTTTTGAAAACCCAGAAGAGTACCCACCCTTCTTTGAAAACCCAGCAGGGTACCCACCCTCCCTTCTCTCTCTGCATTGGTTTACTTTTAGCATATTGTATTTTCCTTTATCACAAATATTTAACTATATCGAACACCTACCTTAGAAGCAGAGCTGCAATACTGTCAGATATACTCAGAACTGTATGAATACTGGGGAAAAGTTGTCAGAGCACATGCCAGAAGATAAGCCCCTCAGAATGGAAGGCACTTAAATACTACTGAGGAAGAGCTGCCTTCTCAAAGAAGAGTCAACCATAATGAAGTGGATGGAGTACAGTCTTTATTTGATGTGGCATGACTCAAACTGAGAAAAAACAGCTGCAAACATCTAATAATAATTGGGACATGAAATGTACAAAGTCAAGAATCTACAAAAATAGAAAACTGTCTAAAATCAATGAATGATTGATAACCTAGATATGAGTGAAATGAATTGGCACTGGCCGT